ATTGTCACCAGAATGGACTGTGAAGATGCTTATGGATGGACCAACATTTATGATGGAATGCTGTGTGCAGGTTACTATGCCCTTGGTGGAGTGGATGCTTGTCAGGTGTGTCTATACATGCAGTACACAAATGGAATTTCAAAGTCTGTTGTAACAAGATTGCCTTATTGTGTACAGGTGGTACCGTGCAATTTGACCAGACTGGGGTCTAAATTTAAAGTTGTCAAATTGCAAGACACTTCATGAACTTCAGAAATAATAGCACAAAAATACAAAAAAGGCCAAAGCAGGTCAAATTCTGGGGTAGACATCAAATTGCAAGTCAACCTCACTGCAAATTTGACAGTTGAATTACGGGATGGTCAAGTTGTGGGAGGTTGAATTGCATGGTACCACCTGTATACTCCATACACTTTCTGCTGGGACTTGATAAAAAGTTTGTTTTACTGAAGAAAAAAATTGTAACAGTATTTTTTGCAACAAGATTTCACTGTGCTATAAATTGCTGGTTGATTTGTGGAATTGGCATACATTAATGTTGCACGATCTATATATACAGAAAAATCTTGTTACAATATGTAGCCATTGGGACTGCAGTAGAAAAGCTTTGTTGTAATGGAATTTTTGTTACAGGTGGACTTTGGCTTTAACAATCATGTCCAGAATGAATTTCTCATCTAAATAACAAATTTTTCTTTAGTCCAATATAGGATACAGTCCCCTTTGTTACAAGAGTTCCTGACAATAAATTGTTTTTCTGGCTCCTAAGATTTTGTTGCAGAGAGTCCACCTGAACTAACTCTTTCAAAATTGTGGCTATTGCTGGACAGGGACCTAAAATATCACTTAATTTTAAGTGCAGTCATTAATTGTCAAAACAAGACTTGTCGTAACAAGATTTTTCTAGTACATTACTACAAAGACTTGTTTTGTCAGTTGTTTTGAAGACATATGTTTTGAACTTTGGCCTATTATAGGCCACACTACTAGGCCTAGAAGGTTGAAACTATTAGCATCTCTAGCTTGTCTATATATACATGATCTCTGACATTATGATCAGCTTTGGTGTATTTTTTTAGGGTGACAGTGGTGGTCCTATGACATGCCCTCTAGAAGATGGAACCAATGTGCTTGCTGGAATTGTTTCATGGGGAACTGGTTGTGCCAGGCCAGGATACCCTGGAGTTTATTCAGAAGTCGCCTATTTAAGGGAATGGATTCATGAGAAAATAGGAGTGTGATCAGGTTACTTCCAGTATTTTTTTCGCATTTTGACCGCCATCAAACTAAAACAATGTCTGGAATTAAAAACTTATTTGATTTGAAAATGAGGAGAACTAAGAAAAACCTTCCACTGCGCAGGTGCAATTTTTGGTATTGCACCAAAAATTTCTGCAATCTGAAACAAGCCTCCTTTGAATGTTCACATAATATTTCAACCATTATTATGCTGCTAATAACTGAGAGTTAGCTGTTCAAAATCAAAATACTGTACAATACTTTACAGGAATTGAGCAAGAGGTCATTTGCAGTAGCAATCAGTTTCCACTAATTCCAAAGGCATGGATGTTTACTGTACTGTAACATAGTAAGCATTACACGTCAAAATTGACTCACTCATGCAAGGTTAAGAAACCTTAGAATTATTGCTAAGCAAACCTTCAGTTCACAAAAAGAGCTTGTTTTTGCTAGCACTTGTTTCCAGGCACTTCTTGGCAAAAATTACAAAATGTTTAGCTTCAACATGTACACAAAAGGGTTAGATGCAATTTTTCTACCTGAATTTTTGCTTTGCCTCTAATCTTTCATGAACAGGGTTGTTAATCACTACTGGAAATTTGTTTACCCTACCACTACCCCTACTTCCAACTTTTATCACTACCCCTACCACTACCCCTACTACAAAATTAAATTTTTGCACTACCACTACCACTACCCCTACTGCAAAATAAATTTTTGCACTACCACTACCACTACCACTACCTGCTCAAAAACTATGTTCACTACCACTACCACTATAATTTAAAAATGTATCACTACCACTACCACTACCACTACTGCTATAAAATGGTTTCTTGAAAAATATTTTTACCTTTAATTTGATAAAGGAATTTTGGAAGATTTCCACACCCCACTTCTTCAGCTTTAAATGTCCAGTTTAAACAATTGAAATTCCAAGCTTTTTACATTTCAGTTTTTTCTGCAAGCTAAAGCAATGTCAAGATGAATAAATTTTTTAGGAGATTCAATTGCTTTTCAACAAAGATTGAGACAGCTGAGCCTGATCTCTTTCATTAGTACAATTCATTAATATAATTTTTTCAGGAAATTGGGATTTTGGGATGATACATTTCATTGTACATGTTTTCAGGAATGAGGAAGAATTCTGTAAGAACCACATTTATATAAACACAGATTTCAAATATTCCAGAATGTGATGATTACAAAGACCATGCATTTAAACCATTTAAAAACTGTAGTCTAGGTATTGCTGTTATTTATTTCATGACCATTGAATATGATGTCAGATTTAGTTGTATTATATTCTTAAAGGGGAGAATTCAAAATATGACAAAAAATAAGCATTATTCCATTTAAAATGTGTATGGATCATCAATATAAAAATAAACAGGCACACTTTAAATGACTTCCTTTATGGAAATGTACAAGTTTTCTATATTGTTATAGCTTTAAAAATTGTTGAATTGCTTCCCCCTTTTTCACTTGAATTTCTTCCTCAAAGAGGGTCTTCTATTTATTTTGTATTTTTTGCTGAACAGTGAGGGGTGATTCTTCCTCAAACTCAAGAGGAAGGGGAACTGAGCTGGAAGAGGGAACCAAAGAGGAAGGGGGGGGGGGGGTGGCTAGAGATAAAGTGAGATTCTTCACCCCACCCCCCTTTTCCTGGCTTTTTGTCATCCTTTTGGAGTATCACATATCCCCACCTCCAGCTGTTTGCAGCAAAAATATAAAAAAAGCTTTTTAAGACTTTTGGGGTGGAACTGTGGAAGAAGTTTTCATACTTGGGAGGTGAGACAATTGAAAAACAACCTTTCCCTGATTTTAGGAAGGAAATGGATTTTCCTTCCAGAAACAGGTGGTGATGGGGATATTTGGTTCCCCAGAAGGATGGAATAAAGATAAGAAAACAAGGGATGGAGTATCCCTTTTCCCCCTCAGTTCAAGAAACAATTCCCTTGGCCTGCTCAGCAAAAAATAAATATAAAAGGGAAAAAAGACTCCCCTTTCTTCAAAAAAAAAATTGGAATCAAAAGGTGTAATCATGTTGCGAACTCAAAGTTTTAAAAATGTAGAATCTTTTAGCATATCTATAAAGAATCTCAGAAAATGTCAGTCTAATTTTAAGAAACTGTGAAAAAGAAGCATCACTAGGAAAAATGCCAAAGGTAGAAATTTTTGAAGCATATTCAAGACCACTACCAAAATTTGCACTACCACTACCACTTCCACTACCAAAAATTTTTTTCTTGCCACTACCACTACCACTACCACTACAAAAAATTTTTCCTTTGCACTACCACTACCACTACCAAATATTTTTTCTTATCACTACCACTACCAGTAGTGGTAGTGGTAGTGGAAGCATAAAGTAGTGGACTGATTAACAACCCTGTTCATGAATTAGTTTTTCCCCAACAAAATGCCATCAAGAATGTTAACTCCAGTATACAGCAAACCTTTGTCTAACTTGGATCATTCATGGCAATGATTAATCTGCTGTAGATCCTCTGATGGGTGCCAAGCTTCTGAGTTTGAATAATTGAAATCCTCATCTGATTTACCAGCCACAGAAAAAAGAGGCCCCACATAAAAAGGAACACATTCAGAGGAAAATTTTGTTGTCAGAACAAATATATCTTTTTTCTTCATTGAAAGACAAGCACTTCCACAGAAGCAGGGTCCAGAAAATACCAACACTCTCCTTCCTAAAAAAATCATACTTGAAAACAACATGATAATGGATCACCATGACAAACTACCCTATGGGATAAATTCTGACACAATTCCAACCCCACACAGAGAAAATATTCTTTTCTGGAACAGGTGTACTACAATTTACCTATAAACCAAATTTTTTACAAATTTTGAAAAATGGAGGTATGGAAAAAGGTTCAAGTCAGACAGGTTTACATTACATTGGACTTGGTACAGTTGTCCAGGGATCAACTGGAAATTCAAATCATAGGGAGGTTTTTGATTTGACAAGTTCCAAGTGCAATTGTAAGTCATTATCCCAAATGGACAGGTTGTCATGAAGAACACATCATCACTTCTCCATAAAAGCAGTCTAAGAAATGCTTGGGGAGAACTTGAAAAATTTCCACCAATTATGATTTCTGTTCTTCAGTCCAACATGCGAAATTTCGCAACGCTCCTCAACGTCATTCCAAAAAAATGATAATTGTAAAGCAAAACAATATATCGCCGACTAGAAACGATTTTGAATTAGTACACGAGAAGAGGAAACATTTTCAATCAACATGAGGGTTATGAACACGACAGTGCGAGAAATCACACAAAGATGAACAGGGTTTCATTCACACACACCACAAAAATTGAAATATTTTTTTCGACAAAATCATTTNGTGCGAGAAATCACACAAAGATGAACAGGGTTTCATTCACACACACCACAAAAATTGAAATATTTTTTTCGACAAAATCATTTCAATGTTAATCGTTATGCCCTCCAACAATTTCCAGAAGTGAACCGTCATAATTCCCGTGCCGTTAACGACTAGTGATTACGTGACCCAAGTATTTTTTTGACTCGTTACCAAACACCACATTTCGCTCGGGAAGTCTTTTTTTTCCCGTAAGTCAAGAAAAAATATACAAAATTAAATTTTTCTCGCGTATTTTTCCTTTTTCAATTTATCGCAAGGCAAAACATACGAAAATTAAGAAATGTGATGCACTAAAAAAAACAGAGTGAGTTGGTGAACTTGAGAAACTGGCATCTTTTCTACGCGTCATCCTTGGGATACTTCACAAGTGAAACACAGTTTCCTAATACACAAACCCCCGTAGGTGATGCAAAAAAAAAGCTCTCTGCTTACGTAAGTCTAATACTCTGGGTGCAATTTTTAGGCAAGTATACAGTAAACAGGAAGAGGCGCAAAGAAAAAGTAGCAATCCGCCTCAGGCAATAATATGACAAAAGATGAAGGAGCAAGTGGACTGTTCTCATTCAATGAACTACGCCACAAAATTTTCATATGCACCTATGATTTTGTTTCAGAAAAATAAGCAGAAATTATCAGAAGTAGAAATGCTCTCAGATGCTCAATTTGACCAAAACTGATCTTGAACAGACAGTGTTCAAAAAATTGAAAAATATTATTCACCATCTACCAAAAATAAGTGCAAAAATAATTATGCATCTTCCACAAGTAAGGACAAGGTTTTCAGCTGGATTTAATTCAAGAAATGGATCATCGCAAAAAAGAAGAATAAATAAATTCAAGAAAAGCTAGGAATCTGCAAGTCTTCAAGAATTACTTCCATAAGACTTGCAAAACAGAACTCAGCCAAACCTTACCCAAAGTTAAGTGTGACCACTTGATTTAACATGCATAATGTTAGAACCAGATACAGTATAAATTTCTACAGCTTATTCAAGTTTTAGAGCAGCTTTTAAATTTGCTCATTGATGAACAAATCAACACTTTGACCTGAATTTCAGTTCTGAGAAATAAGCAGCTCAACACTTACATGTCTCAACTGTCTGATTCATAATTTGAGGTGCATATAACCTGCAATGGGAATCAATCTAAATGAAGCATGTGCTCACCTAATTTTACAGCCAAATCATCCACTTGTCATTTCCATCACATCGTCACACTAACACTGAAACTTCGCTGATTTTTCCTGGCCCATCTCGTATAAAAAAAGCGCAAAAAAAACATTCATACGAAAAGCAAAAACCGCTTCAGAAACCAGACGGCAAAAAAAAGCTTCTGGCAAAAAGAGAGAAAATTAAAGACTATCACGAGGGCTAGTTGTCAAATAAACAGAGAAAAAAAAAGAAAAATCTATCTGATATTTAATTAGGAGTGTTTTGACAAAGATAGGTAGAATGTGAAAGGGTCCAACTATGATAACACCATGATATGAGGGTTGTCTCAGTTGGACGCGACCTCTGATGTTTTTAGAGTAAAGGTGTGATTGCAAAAAAATATCATGACATAACCTTTCATGTTCTAAGATCTGAGGTTCAAGATTTTTAAAGAGAAATTTCTTGAATTTATTGCATGATAGTACAGTAGTTGAAAACTTTCCAGTAAGAGCCAGAGTTTTCCACCCATGTCA